GGGTGCATATTCCTTTAATATCTGCTTTGTCAGCGTACTGGTTACAAGGGAAAACTTCCTTCAATCTATCCCATCTCTGTGGTGAAGAACAGCATAGACTTGACATAATACCCCAAATAAAACAGGTCCTTATGAACGGTACTGAAGAAAGAGGACTCTACATCTGATTATTAAATGGGTATGATATGAATTGACCTCTGCTTCTTCCATGCATCCAGTACTATTTCCGCAGTTTCCACTAAGCCCAGACCTAAAGCAGAGCTGCTGTTTCTCTAAACAGGATGTATAGAGACGGATGCAAAAGGGCAGAGAGCCCTGTCTTCAGAGAGCAGATTGCTAACAAGAAAGGCTTCAATGGTGCACATTTCTCTCTTATTTCAACAGTGCACCTCAGCTGGAGGGCTTGTGCTTGCAGTAGGAACAGCAGAGATTTGTCTGGCTTAATTGGAACAGAAGACAGAATTATAAATGAGCACTTGACCATTCAGACCTTGCCTTCATGCTTTTTTAAAATATATTCCAGCGTTTCATTATGTGTTTACTCAGAAAATATGTTCACATCCCTCTAGAGAGCTAGCAGGAGGAAAAAAACCCCACAAATGTTCTTCCTTTCTCATCTACTGCCTTCTCCCTGCTGCTGGCCACTGCCCGTCGAGTCTACATTTATTCTGTATCCTAGACTAGAGGAAGGAGGTTACTTTTAAAACTTTCACGTGCACACAAAATATCACAGTGTGAGCTGGCTGTAACAGAAGCGTGGCTGAACGTGACACGGTACAAGATCGGTGCAGAGATGCCAAAATTGCATTGTTGCAAGCGACACTGCCTGAATGGCCTGAATTTACTTGACAGTTTTTGAATGCATGTCAAAAAATTATTCCATTTGTACAGTGACAGGTGCTCATTTTTCCTTTAACAGCTACTTAGTCACAAAATCAATTACAATGAAAACTCCTTCAGAAAAATACCTTTTCCTACCGCATATAGTACGCAAAACTGCCTAACTGGGTGTGCTGGGATGGCAGTGGAAACCACCTCTCCTTGAGTTCAAGACATAAGTAAAGCAATGAAAGAGCCTGGGGGACACTGTGGCTCAGAAGGCTCCTGTAGAGCCTTTTAGCCTGACTCAACATGTCACAGTTTTGGTTTTACCAGCAAAGCACCTCCAGGGACATTCAGAGTTTCACCAACACTGACGAATAAGCTCAACGTCACTGGGAGCTCTGCACAGTTCAGAATATCATCTCATTTTGGCTGTCTACTTCCCCATAAATGATTGATTTCTGCACACATCCATAATGTGGAAGTCTGTTCTTATTTCCCAGCCCCCCCAAACACAACTTTTATACAACTCAAGGCTTTGGAGCAATGAATGTATGTCTAAAAATCTCATAGATCCCAGTTTGTCCAAGCAAAGCACTGTGTAACACTTGCATTGCTAGATGGTAAGTAAACTGTTCCATGCATCGATATTGGTTAGAGGTGTTCATTACAAGTTAAATGTGAAGTTTCACAGTGGATTTTCTCCCCCCATGGGGTCCCGAGGGAACAAGCAGACTAGAGGAGTGGGACGAAGAGCCTTGCTGATGTTCAAAGGTATGTGCTTAGAAAGCATAAAACTGCTGAGTGAACATATGCTGTTAAAACTCTCCCTCCCTCCAGTTAAAAAGGGAGACTGGATGGCAGCAAAATTGTAAAATAGTTCCCATGTTATCAAATGTGACTCCTTTTTCCACATCTAATAAGGCAATTTTTTTGACATGTAAAAACTGTTTTGTTTCCTTTGCAAAGACACATTTCAAATTTCACATCTTAAATATTAGTGTAAAAAAAATAATCCCTGTGGTCAAATCCTGAAGAAAGCATTTTGAATGGAACATGCTTTTTACCACTGTTTTCATTTAAGACACTGAAAAGTCTGAAGAAAACATTTTATTTTCGTTTGAGGAAACCCAAACGAGATCTCCTTTTCATTTTTCATAACTGCCAACAAGCTGAAAATTCAAAAACCGTGCAGCAGAGAGGTGAAGCTCCCTGCAGCGCTTTAAACCATCAAGGAAAATCCAGCAAAACGGGAAATATTTGACTTAATGCTCTTCAGATTTCATAGTCTGCAGCACAGAAACCATAAAGTCTAACTCAGCAAAGTTAAAGGGTAAAATACAACTCGAGTTGCACTGCGTTGATAAAGCCGTTAGTAGTGAATTCAAAAACTGAGAAAATAGAACACAGAAA